GTGCCATCGACGTGAAAGAATTCAAGAAAAAAAATATTAAATGGCATTGATTTTCTACCAGAAAAGCTTAAAACTCCAACTCATTCATCTGGTCATATCTCAAAAACTATTTGCCCCTTTTTTTTCCTTGATTTGTTTTCCGTCAATCTTGTTTTCCGTGCTACCAGAGAGGCAGCTCCCACACCTGCACCCTACCTATCGACCCATCAAACTCATGAACCGGGGACCAACGGCTTTTTTTCCCTTCCGAAGGAAGGCGTGATCAGAGATGTTATGCCTCAGAACATCCCAGCGGCGCCGACTGGCATTGAACCCAGGCCTGCTGGGGTGAGAGTTAATCATGCTTACCACTACACCACCGGCGCCGCTAAATCATTTGCCCGTGGAAACACATCGAGTAGAATAGTTATCCAAAGTGTGATGAAATTTAAAGCCCAAAATATTAAGAAATAAAAAATCCCGCCCATGGTGAAAATAGGCCATTTTCTAATAACTTGGATATCTGTCGGTGATCAGTCTGTTTACTGTAGTTACTACAACAAAAACAAAACGTGGTTAAGTCTTTAAGAATTTTCATTAAAAAAAACCTTCAAATTGACGTTCTAACATCACGAATAGCTTATTTGGTTATGAAGTAATCTCTTCTGAAAGTTGAAATTTTTTAAAAACCTCGAAAATCCAGGGTTGTAGCCGAGAGGGATCTAGGCACTTTAGAGCAAAATCAAAAAAGGCGTTTGTGCAGAATGCCAAAAAAAGCGTTTTGGCCAACTTTGGCTCAAATCGGTGACATCGACCACAACTTTATAAAATTCTGTACCCACTTGAGCTGGAATGACCCATATATGTATTTCGTTTAGTACTTGCAAACTACTTCAGTATCTAGTATTAGTCTATAACTAGACACTGAAGAAGTTTGCAAGTAGTAAACGAAAAACGTATCTGATAAAGTTTTTTTTTAAATTATAGTGAAAGTAAATAGTGAAAGTAAATAGTGAAAGTGAATAGTGAATTAGTGATAGTGATACAATAGTAGTAGAATTGAAACGAAAAACAACGTAATAATGTAAAAAAATATTCTACTAAAATGCTAATAAATCATTTAAGATTATTTTCTTCTGCTCGAGTTGTAAGCAATGATTAATAATTGAGCTAATTTCAGCTATTATAGATCATGCAAATTTTTTTAAAAATATTAAATTAAAAATATAACCCTATTTCTATAAATTCTTTGATATTTTTTATTGAAAAACTTATGAAAAATTCATCTTTCTGTTAAATTTTCTAAGTGCCCAGCTTTTAAATTAACACAAATCATAGAACAACCCTTTTTTTAAGCAATTTCAATTTTTTGTTCATAAAATTTTTATGCAAAATTTTGAAAGCTATTTTTAAATACAAAAAAAAAAATCTGTGCGAAATTTCACACATTTTTTTTTTATAAAATTTAATAATAATGTAATGTTTTTTTTACATAAACTTGTTGATCTTTGAGTTTTGTTAATTCTAAACTAACATTTGAAAAGGGCGTAAATCCAAAATGTAAACAAACCATATTTTGCCACATATAGAGAGAACAGTTCACAAACTACTCGATAAACACGAAAAAGTAGAAGAAAATATCACTTCAAATAATCAGAAACGTTTCTTCTTACCTGGCGTTTTTCCAACTTTCAACTCTTTGATGCATCTGGTTGTTACGCCTTGCACCAGAACTACGAATTATATTGTTTTAATATGCCAAACGTACTGATTCTGTAGTATCTAGTCACGCTCGATTCATTAGAAATGCATCCGATTGATATTTCACGTGTAAACAAGGAACAAAAAGAAGACCAAAAATTTCCGGACGTAATTCCGCTCTTACAAAATTTGCGAACGAAGAACCAAGGCGTTACAACAATAAAAAAATCCCGAGGGTGTATTTCCACGGCGTATCACCAGTGTTGGCAGTTCAAAGGATGGAAGATCCGGGGGTAACCACATGTAAGACATTATCAGGGCGCATGATGTTTTATTCTCAATTTCACGACAAAGAAAACTTTTTTTTTAGTTTTTAGTGATGCATGATGATAGATTACACTATTAAATATATATCAAGCTTATAAAATCATCCAGAAAATTGAAAGCCGTGAAATAGGATTAATTTTAGGTCATCAAAATTCGAAGGCGATTTTCTCGATATGGTCATTTTGGAGCTACGCCCTTTTCAAATGTTAGTCTAGAATTTGAAAGTGTCCAACATGAAAGATTAACAGAACTAAGCATGTAAGATTTTTATTGAAAGCATCATAAGCGTTTTATTAAAAAAATATTCAAAGAATATTTAAGGGGATTGTTTTTTTTTGTTATTAAGCCTGAAATGGATTTGTTTTTTCCTACAACTTTGCTTTAGACAAAATTTCGATTGCATTTGTCGTTTTCGAGTTATGATTTGTTATAAAATATCAAATACACTATTTTTAATTTTTTTTTGCATGATTCAAAAATGGCTGTTGTTTAGCTCCATTGTGATTATTTGACCATAACAAACAATTATGTAAAGTTAAATGCAAATCGGAGAAGGCCACATCAGATCGATTCGTCATTTAACGTGAAACTGCCCATAAATCCTAAAACTAGTGACATACAAATCATAATCTTGCAAATAGGGGAAATGGCTCTAATGTTGGCCTATGGATCTAAGATTGGGCCCATCGCTAAAAATCTGCTATTTATCAATTTTATCTAGATGAACGCGTCATTGGGATGATACTAATGGATATTTTTGGTCACTATTGAAAATTTAGTCGATTGCTGAATTTCAGTGTTGACAAAAGCAGAAATCAACTGATATTTTTCCGCTCTCATACGCTCGCAGTATCACGCGTGATATTGGAACAAAATATCATGCTTGATATGGATATTGATTGCCGTGCAAAAATCAAGCTGAGAGTTGACTCGACACAAATATGATTCCATTGCACATCGTTTTCTTAGAAAGAGAAAGCATAGTTTGCTATCTCTTTTTAATCTTCACCGAAGGCAGACGCGAAGGGACTGCTGCAAGCCGTTATGGAACTTTCGGTTGCATTCGGGTGTAAAGCGAAAATTATGAAACTCAATCTGACCACAGTTTGGTGAGATTTGCAATTGGTGAGTTTTGTTAGCTTGATATTCCGAGCTGCGATATCACAGCTTGCAAAATCAACCGCAGTTGTTTGCTTGTTGATTTTTGTCTACGAAAATCAAGCGTGATCTTGGGCGTTGATGAAATTTGATTTTTTTGATATTTTCCCAACACTGCTGTATTTATATATGGGCCTAAATCAGAGGCATCTAGGCCGACATTACTGCCATTTCCCCTAGTATAAAATTGCCTGACATAAATTAAGCCATACACACTAATCCAGGCCTCCGTCGTTCGGTAAATTTTGAACTACAGAACTGTTCGGTAAATGTTTAAAAATCAGCGAAAAATCCAATTATTAAAAAAAATTATCCCGAAAAATTATCCCAAAATTATCCAGAAGTTGTTCAGTTTACCCCATTTATTGATGAAAAATTAAATTTATAAATTTTCTTGATTTCTCACGTGTAACGGTCATTTGACAATTTTACCGAGTTGTTCTGCTGTTCAAAAACCCGGTAAATTCATACCGACTTCGGTGATCTGAATTAAGTGTGTAGGAATCAATCACCCCGGGACCATGCAATAAACGCTCAAGTAAATAGCAATTATGCAACACTATGCAGCCCATATGCAAAGCCATTCAGCACCAGAACTGCAGCGCTCTTTCGTCTCCTTCCCACCCTTTCAGTGAGGTTCGAGGTCGATCGCGCAGTAGGAATGATTTCAAATGACAACGCCGGGTGCTCGGGGTATGTAAAAATTATCGATTGTGCTAGGATGAGCATTTTGACACTTTTAGACACTCCAGTCATCTCAATTTAAACCTAATCTTCTCATTTTATCGTACACAAACCATTGTGAAGAAAATTGTATAAATGGCTTATGAATTTCAATAAGCAGCATTCTGATTCTGATTTTGAAGCTCGACTCAACTGAGCTACCCTGACATTCGACGTTCTTCAAATCCCGTTTAGTTCCTGCGACCCTACCAGAATTCTTCCGTTAGGCATTTCGCACTAGTGGAAAGAAGGACTTTCTTCGCGGCATCACGAAAACTAAATTCTGATACCGAGACAACAAACTAGCATTTAGATGTAGGCTTTGAATCGCATGAAAAGCGTGAAAGTTTGATACATATTTGAGGAAATTAAAATGGAATCTCTCAATCCATTCGAAAACTTCTTCATACAGGATTCTTTAAGCTATTATTTGAAAGGTTTGGATTATTATAAAATAATCTGAATTTTTTCCCTCAAATAATTTGTAGATTTGTAATAATTTTCAACAAATTTTCAAGCCCCATGCACCGCAACCCGCAGATTGAGAACCGCTAACCCAGAGCATCGATTTTCAACGTTGCCGCCCCACCGTGCGATCAAGCTCGCTCTACATCGCTTCTTTATAGAGGAAATGACGGCTTCGGCATGACAGACTATTTTCGGCAACCCAAATTGAAACACTATTTTCACTGGATTTTCTTACGAAAACACTTCGCTGAATGCATGCAAACGATTCTTTATGCTTTCAGCTTCAATTTGACTATATTTTTACCACTGAGAAAAAGCAATCTAGCAGGGTTTTCTTGAAATGAAACACACGCACTACAAATTGTAGCTGATTTCGAGTTGCCGATAATAGAACAGCAGATTTACATGCAGTTCAAATGGAACGGTTGCCGAAGAAAAACGGGTTGCCGACAATACTCGCTCTCACTAGAGAAGATTGGAGCTTTGTAAAAGCGTTTCAAAACAGTTTTTGACAATTCTTACGACTGAAATTGTTAGAGCAGCTGGCAGCAAAAGATTGTAAACAAACCAATACTGCATATGTGTGCGTTCCATAGAGAAAAAGGCTATAGAAAGAAGGTCGCTGCTTAGGTTGCCGAGAATACGTAAATTCCCCTATGTGCTTTTCATTAAGTTCGGAGTTCGCAAGCCCAATGTTGAAAACTTCTTCTTCTACTGCCAAGTTCTAGCCTCCTGTCAACCGAGCGAAAACCACTCATCTTAATTACTATCGAACCACTAACTACCGTATCACAGACCGGTACCAATCAGCACTGGTGCAGCGTTTTTTTTTTGTCTTTTCGCATTCCCTCCAGGGAAACCGCACAAACCACCTCCCACCCGCCGCCGAAGGAAGCGCGCCGTGACGGAAGCCATCAATAATGTGAGCGCAAACTAGAGCCTTGATTAGTCTCGTTTTTCACCCCCTCAGCCAGAGCGTCTTCCCCAATCGGGAGGTAAAACAAGCTGAAAGAAAGGAAGGACACTCTCGCTCGGTTTACCTTCCCTGCCTTCTATCCAACTTTCGTCCTAACGCCGTTATCGTCATTGTTTTTGTTTTTTGTTTTGTACATTTGTAGAATTCATTAGCATTAATTAACCGTGTAGATTGATTGATTGATCGGATCGCTGTTGGTAGCATTTTTTCTCCCTTCCTAGCGGCGCATGATATCCTCTATGCTGAAGCCGGTCTTGCGTGGTTGCGGTGGTTGCTGACCCAGTGGTGTTTGGGGAGGGGCAGCTGGAGACTGTTGTGATTGTCGGACAGAGGCTGGCGGTGGTTGATTGGAACTGGATGGCAGTGGTGAGGAGGTGGCTGGATTCGGAGGGGATTGCGCTCTGGGAGGCGGGAGATTCGAAAGGTTGACGAGATTCATCGGATGTTGCGATGGAGGGGGCAGTGGGAGTTGTAAGGGGTGGGTAGGTGAGTTGACATGTGGAGACAGGAGGGACGGGGAGGAAGGTACGGATGGTGAAATCATTGGAACAGGCTCGTGTGGTGAGTCGGATGGGTGGGAAGGAGGTTTATGAGGGTCATCGGAGGGCTTCATCAAAGGTCTTTGATTGATCATGGCAGGTGGAAGATGGGAAGACAAGAGTGGACGTCCCATGATGGGATAGGGCTCTCCATCGGGACCCATGGCTCGTTTCCGCAGAGGATTGTGTCCGAAAAATTGTCCACCCGATTCCATGAGACCACTGGTAATCGTTGCTGATGCTCGTCCAATCAACCCCACCTTTTGGTGGAGATCTCTGCGGACGTGAAGCATTGGGATGAACATGTCAAGCGGATGCTGCTGAGGGATAGGTCCGGGTCCACTGGTTGTCAGATCTTCACCGTTGGGGCTCTGAAGAGCCTGGGAGTGTTGGGAAGATTGGGATGAGCAGGAAGACCTGCTTCCGTAGTCATACTGAGGACGCATTGTGTACGGACTTCTGGACCCCATAGGTCTCTCGTGATGGCACTGGACTACTGGTGTTGGATCAGGTTCATGACCTGCAACGCTGATCGTTTCATCTTCGTCATTTTCCTCCTCGTTCTCTTGACGATAGTCATCGTCGTCCAGTTCGGCAGAAACTGGCATATCCAGCGGAGGAGACGGCGATCTAGTCCGTCCGGCAGGGGAATGAACCGGTGAGTCTACCTCCAGCACCGATTCGTCTTCGTCGCCGCTGAGATTGTTGTCGTCGTCTCCAACGTCCAGCGACTCCGACGGTACATCGCCGACCGTATGCGTAAGTGCATGACGCCTCAGGTCGCAGTTTCTTCGGAATACCTTTCCACAGGAGTTGCACTCGTACGGTTTGTGGTCCGTATGAGTTAGCAGATGTGTTTTCAGGTTCGAACGCTGATTGAAGCTTCGATTGCACACCGGACACTTGTGCGGCGATTCCTCCATGTGCAGTATCTTGTGCACAGCCAGCGTTCGCGACTGGCAGAAACCCTTTCCACACTCGGTACATTTGAATGGCTTTTCCTTGGAGTGAATGTATCTGAAAAGAGGGGAAACAGAGAAAACAAAAGTCGTTGTAAGATATATCGAATTACTACCATCCAGCAGTGGTTGGTCGTTATTTTTCTCCACTCCCGGTCGGACGGTTGGTGCCTGGAAGCGAGCAACCGTCCCGTGTAATGAAATCAGTTCAGTTCCCCGCTCCGTTGCTTTCCAAGCTACCTACAACACAACCCGCCAACTTTCAACATGCAAAATATTTTGTTCCAATTATCGAAGGTTCTTGTGAGCTTTCCTGACAACAACTTGTAGTTCCACTTACCATAGCTCTTTCTGTTCCACTCCACTATCGTCCATGTTCAGACAGGTGCGTGCCTAGGTCGGGGCCACGACGGGGTAGCTTACGAATAGCACCGATGTTGGTCTAAGAATTTGTAACGTAATCTTACAATACCGAAAACATTGCTTCATTTAGATTTCAAATTCCCTCCAGCATGCACACTTCTGCTTCCAGACCACGCTTGTAAAACTAAAAAATCAACCACAGAAGAACGTTTATCTTTGCCTCAGCTCTCCAACTCACTCCTGGCAGTGACCGGCATCATCCAAACATACATAAGTGTATAGGATGTTTATTTTGCTGCACTAACCCTGACCCTTTCCCTCTCATCATCATCGTGGCCGTAGCACTTCTCCTTAGGAAGCGAATCCAGATACCGGCCGATCGCCAGAGACTCATGCCTTCAAGCAACGTTGCAGAAGAGTGCAGCACCAACAGAAAGAAAAACCCCTGCAAGATGGATACATATTTCTTTCTCTTGTTTCCTTTGTTGGGCATTGAATAGGTCCGAACGATAGTGGAATCGGTGGATTTCTGCAGAAAACGAAAATTTCCGATGCGAAATATGATTGATTCCAGCTAAATATGGCGGTTCATCGCTTGCTGATCGTTGATGTCACTGGAACGAATTTCCTCGGAAGTAATAGTTTTTTTTTCGAAGAATTCCCCATTTTCAACCAACGAAAGTGTTTATCAAATGGTACGACAAACACGGCAAGATGGACAAAAGAGGTTTCCATTCCGAGTAGCCAAAACGAATCACGTACTCGAACAAAAAAAAAAAAATGTAATTTTGGTTGGACATTCAATTCACATCTTCGGAAAGGAACGAAAAAGCGCTTTTGGCGGGAGTTGTTGGAATTGATTATACAATTTCAACCAGCTTGATCGCTCAAAAAGATCCGATGACCCAAATTTTCTGACTTCTGCGTCAGCATCCTCACTATCTTAATGGCCCCTGTTGACTGGGTTTAAAAATAGATAAATCTCCGAATTATCATACGAAATTGAATATTCGTAAAACTCGCTTGGGACGACACACCTGTTTTGTATCGACGATTTTCCCTTTCGTCCAACTCAGCGACAACCCCGACGACGGCGGAAAGGTGCACATTTATGCAAATGGGTGATGTATTTCGCGCTTCGCTGCGCAATCCCACACTGAGTTTCAGTTTTTTTTTTCTGTTTCCACTCGCAGCAGCAGCATCGAAACAAAAAAGCGACAGGAAACAAACTATTAATGTTATTTGCATTCATTAGCTACCGCGCGACGGCAGCCACTTTGGGGAATGATATTTCAGTTTCATTGCACTGGGTGTATCCATCTCTCGACGCAGCAGATTTCAGCACGTTGGGTAATTGAATTAGAAATGCAAATTCAACTATTTAATGCCTTCGGAAACCACTTTGCATAGATTTGGCTTTGCGTGTTTCAAGCCAGTTTGGAGAGCGGCAAAAATCGCCTCTTCTAATGACTTCCAACGAAAGGCACGCACCCCCCTCGAATGGAGCGGAGTCTGGGATGGTCTTGATGGTCAAACTGCACCAGGGGCAAAAAAAAGCTGCCCGACTAATGACTATCGACAAAAAAAAAAAGCGCTTTGAGAAATTCGACCAGAAGAGCATGCATAATATCCAGTTTCGATGCAGTCAAACATAAATCATGCTTAGGACGGACGGCGAGTTTTGAGTCGTCCCTCGCACTCACACTCCCAGTGCACGCTATAAAAGGGGGTTTGCCGGTTCCGGGAATCCTCGGAGATTATGGCTGTTTGCACATTGGTGAGAATTTGGCACCGTTCGCCAAGCCCGATCATGCGGCTGTGAAGGAATTATTGATTTGAGAGTTCTCGGAATGGGACTCTGCTGATGATTGTGTGGGGATAAGGCCTGCGGAGAAGATGGATCCTTCGCTGGTGATGGCGATGGATTTTTTTTTCAGTGAAATGTTTTAAAGTTTCACGTACCCAAACAAATGATTACTTTAAGTGAATCCTGTGGAACTCGGGCGTCTATATAGAAGGATTAGTAATGTCCATTTAATTCCATTACCTTAATTGTTTATCCTTGACCGATAAGCGTATTTCGCGTACAATGTGCGGACTTCTTCAGAAGACTTGCAGAAGTCTACACATGGTAGACGAAATACGTAAAGCATAAGCAGATAAGGTCGTGGAATTAAATGAAAATTACTAATCCTTGCCTCTTTCAGGGGAAACAGCCCAAGTTGCATTGCAAGTTTTATAAAGGTTTTAAAGCATTATACAAGTCTAAATCATTGTCTTCAGAACCCTCATAAAACCAAAATTGTTACTTGGGAGTCCTAATGTTGTGTTATGTTAGAAGCATACTGTTGTGTATGGAGGTCTCCATAGCCTAGTCAGTAAAGGCACGATATTACCAAGCCGGATGCGGGGGGTTCGATTACTGGTCTGGTAGAAGGAATCCATCGGGATGGAAATTTTCTAGACTTCCTTGAGCATAGAGTATCATTGTGCTTGTCATACAATATACAAATGTATGCATTGGTATTGGCATCCAAAGCCCTCAATTAATAACTGTGAAAGAGCATTTAGAACACTAAGTTTGAGAGCACGCAATAATCTTATATGTGATAAGCAATAAGCAATAAGCTTGAAATGCGAATACTAAGAAGAAGAAACAACTTCTAACGTGTTGCAACAATAGGACTGTTTCCCTTATTGATGTTCAGTGTCATAAGTTTTTAAATTCGTGCAAAACCTCAGTCATACAATGGCATTAAAACTTTCGTAGTCAACCGTGTGAGCCAAATCCAATCGGTTATTCCAATTGACACATGGAATCACGTGGCAAACTCCGGTAAACCCGCTGACGACAACTCTAGAAGATTGGATCCAGACGAATTCCTCGCCTAAACAAGGTCAGGCCTAGCGTGGCGATCAATGCTGTCAAAAATAGTGATTTTAGTAACCATGTTGAAGAAATAAGTGATTAAATAGTGACTTATAGTTGTAAAAAAGTGACTTATAAGTGACCTAAGAGTAGAAAATTTGTCGAAAAACCGGGAATTCTCAGGGAATTTAATGTTTCCTGAAAATACCTGGAAGTCTTAGGGAGTCCTATCATTATTAAGGAAATTCAATAATTTTCTTACTAAGAATGCATTTTAAAATAAAAACATAAAACATTCCTGGTTATTTTCATTCACACATTGAACTTTATAGATCCAAAATGGATTAATCTTCAGTAACAAATACATTTTTAAAATTCAAGGCTTCAATTGATTTTTTTTTGGCTCTAGAATATGCATATTTCCCACAAATTTTATAAATTCTTAACTGAAAAGTTATAATACTTCAAGAAATTTTCAAGAATCTGGAATCAAATTCCTTGCACGGTTTTAAGGCTCATGGAATTTTATTATAATTTCTAAGGACCTCATACTACGGGAGATTTGGCGAAAAAATCGATGAGAAAAACAGAAACTGCAATCTACTTCCATGGTAGTTCTGAGGAATTTGAGACTTCATGTGAGCCTAAGGACTAAGCCAAAGATAGTAAACACCAAGCAAATTTTCATGAGAAATCTCAGTTGAATATGTAATGGACTTTTCTGAGGTCTTGAGAACTACGTGAAGGTTCCCAAAACATTCCTGAAGTTAAATAAATGTCCTTGAAGTTCTTTTGTTGTTTGAGAAACTAGCCTGATGCTCGCAATACTTCTCATCATTTTTTTAGCTTCCCTTAACTTTTTCGGACTTCCTAAAGTTTCCACAATTTTCCTAATGATCATGAATCTTCTCTAAAGTGTTAAAAATTCACTGATTTTCTCGATTTTTTTTTTTAAATTTATGTATTTTCCCTGCTCTGAAATATCTCTGCTCTGAGGATATCTGTTCTTTCTTGAAGTTTTTTTTTGTTTAGAGCTTTATTAGCGAGTTCATTATCTTTCTCGAAGTTTTCAAAACTCCTCTTAAGTGTTTGCAGTGCTCATGGAGCTTGTTGTCCTACCATAAATTTAATTGAACTGTTCTAAAAATGATTTATTTTGCGTGAACTTCTGGACTTATGTAAAAACCTCAATAATTATCTTAACATCTGAAAATCTGGGAACTTCTTGAAACTTTCGCTACTTTAGTGAAACTAATTGGAACTGAACTCCCCTATAGTTTCCTTTGTTTTAGGAGCTTTACTAAACTTATTTGAGATGCTCCCGAAATGTCCATAAAAGTTTCTGAAGTTCTCAGATCTTCCCTTAAGTTCCATAGACTTTTATGAAGTTCTTGAAATGTTTCTGAAGATCTCTGTACTTCTGTGAAGTTTTCGAAGATATTCTGAAATTTCAGGAACTTCTCTAAGCTTCCGCAGCTAAATAATCAATTTCGTTCTTTGATTTTCACTGAAGTTCTCAAGTCTCTTGTCTGAAGTTCAAATAATCATTATGTTTTTAAAACAGCTTTATAAACAGATTTTGCGTTATATAGTTTAATAAAGGAGGTTCTCATCTAGCATCCAGAATGGCACACGAAGCAAGGAATGTGTCTGCAGCTGAATTATTAACGATTATGAACTCTTTCCTTCTAACCCCCTCAATTGTGATCGTTTGTCTATGCACCCTGCGTATATTTTGGTTGTTTTAAAGCAGGGTAAATCTGATTATTTGACGGCACTGGTAGTTGAAAGTCAATCGTGACTGCTGCCTCGCCATAGTGTGGACT